CAATCGTATATATGCACTATGACTGGCTTTTCCCGCTTCATATATTCCGTAGATTAAAACATATGTGGCATGCCCAAAGTTCATAAATTTAATATGAGTATGAGTCTGATTTGTGTGAAAATGTTTCGATTGCATTGTTTTTGGAAGTTTGTTTTGCCAGGAAAAATATTTGCAAAATTTTTTAGTATTTTTTATTCATTTTTTATAGGATAAAGTTGAAAATGTTTAATAATTCATATACATTTGTAATATAAAACAGAATTTTAATATTAAAAAAAAAAAAAAAATATTTAATATTAAAAAAAAGGAAATATATATATTTGTTAGGGAAATCAATTGAATTTTTAACTTTTATTTTCTTTTAATTATTTTATAAAAATCTGTTAAACTACTTTTTTTATTCGAAAGATATGCAAAGAGGTTAAAATTCTGATTCTCAATCTTGAATTAATCAAATTCAATAAATAATAATCATAGAAATGAAAGGCTTGCAATAAATATATATATTTATATTCTCAAATATTTTTGCAACATTCTCTGTCTCTACTCTTAATCTCATTAAGCAGTAAATTTCCCAACATTTGTAAGACTTTAAAAATAAATATTTATACTTTATGGCGTCTGCCTTACATCAATTTAATTTTCAATAAAAAAGTCATAAAAAAATTTCAGTATCACATGCCGACACTTCAGCTGCTCTTACGATCAGCCAAATATATATCCTTAGTCTAGACACGCAGCCATTAAAAAACGATCTGAAATTTTTACCAAGCAATCGAGCGAAGCGTTTCATATTTTGTCTTCAGCGATAATTGACTTTATCTGAGTGAGTGCATTAAAGATGCTGTCGCAGCTTGTTAACTTCTCCGATAACTTGATAAATGATGCCAGCCCAAAAATTAATAATAATAAAAAAAAAATAAAAAAAAAAAAAAAAAAACTTTCAAGGAGAAAGACTTTATAGCCAGAGCTGCCCTGAGCTGGCCTGCCATGACTTGTCTTGGCCTGGCTCGTTGGCCGGGCAATAAAATTGCTGCAGAAAATTTGCCATAATTTCATTGAGCAAAGACTTTAAACGTCTGGCACGTTCGACTTTTTGCTCTACTCAAACTTTTCTTTTTTTGCAACTTCTTCTAACGCTGCTGTCTCTTCCTCCTCTTTCCATATTGCGCTGCACAAATCTCAATTGCAGTTCTTTTTATGGCTGCTGCAATTGGCTTTTACGCTGTTAAGTCTTAATATTCTACTTGGCTTACTTGCAATTTTTTCTCTTTTTGTTTTTTTTTTTTTTTTTTTTTTTTTTTTTGCAGCTGCTGCTGCTGCTGCAATGACTGCGACTACGAGTCAAATATTTGCCCCGAGCTTACACAAAGTGAACTTTTTACAGGGAAATAAAACAAAAAGAATGGGAGAGAGGGAGAAGGGGAGTGGGAGTGGGAGTGGGAGTGGAAGAGGGAGTGAGAGCGGCAGATACAGACATTTGCTAGCGGCGCTTTTCACACTCAGCTGTAAATGCCTCCAGCTGCACTCTGCATAGTTCTATAGACAAGCATACACACACACATACATACACATATTTATTTATTTATTTATTTAAATGTCTTTTTGCCACATTTTGCATAAACTGAGTCGTGTGGGCGATGGGTCAGTGGTCATTCGGGCAGCTTTAATGCGGTCAAGTCTCTTCTGCCACACTGACTAAATAACTTTATTAGTTTCTGCGGTCTCTAGCTGAAAAAAAAAAGTTCAAACTAACTGCAAACATAATAAATATATAATAGAATTTTATATACATATCTGTATATTTGTATAACAAATTTATTGTCTGCATAGTTTTTGTGGCTGTTGGTAATTAATTTAATTATCTTCTATCTGATTGCACACTTGCTGCTCAAATGTCAAAATATTTGCTCAGCAATTTAATGCAATCAATATTTGTATAGCTGAATTTATGCAAAGCTAATTAATTTCTGTTTATGTTCGCATACATTTCACATACACTCTCTAAACAATTTATCATGAATTAAATATTGCATTGACAGCTGTAAATGAATTTCATTCCATTGAGCTCTGGCCTAAATGATTTACATCAATATTTTAAGGCTTACAGGCAATGCCAGCAGCTGCTACTCGAACATTGTGAGAGACATATAAAATATTTATAAATTAAAGCTGAGAACTTTACGAAGATTTGTGAGTGGAAGAAGAACTTTTCAGTTGAATTTGACATGAAATTTGCAGTGAAGCTGAATTGAATTTATTTCATTAGAAATATACTCTTTGAGCATAAAAATGTAAAGGAATATTATTAAAAACTCGATTAGTTAATTTTGTATTTTTGCTTCGCATTATTATTATATAATATTTATTATTTATATTCCCTATTTTATTTGTCATTTAAAATAAATTTATTTTACAATATTTTCTTCCAATTTATATTTTACGTTCAATTATTGCTAGTCAGACCTGTAAAAATACATATTTTCTATACATTTACAGTATAATGCATATCTGGAAGGAAACTAAATGTAATAAAATTGACACGTGTCACGCTTAAAAATGAAATAAATAAAGTAAAAAATTCCCGTAAAAACGTGCTTAAATTGGCTAATTTGCATTTTCAATACGCATAAAAATTGTGTTTTGCGCTGTTGGCAATTTATAAGCTTTTAGTCAAATCGAAAATCCCTTGCTAATCATTTTAGCTGACATTGAAAATGGTGTACGACATGCAAGCAAATCATTTGTAACACACACACAAACACACACGCATACGTCTGTGTGTGCGTGTGAGTGTATGTGTAGCTCCAAATTGACGCAGTCCAATCAGAAAACATTTCAATAATATTCAAAGCACACAGAACAACGCGTCACCAGGGCAATCAGCAAACAATTCGACAAATGCAAAAAGAAAGCAACAATCAGGCAACAAAAATTTAAAAAAAAAAAAAAGGGCGACAGCAGGAAATGCAATAAAAAACATATATAAATTATTAACCACAAAATTGTGACAGGCATATATATACACACAAATTTTATATATCTACTATATATTTATTTAATTAAATGATAAATGCGTATGCGCAGCGATGCGAAATCAGCTGCAAAATGAAATTTCAGCCGTAAATGCGGGCGCCAAAAAGGGGCTTTAAGGCTTGTCAAGGTAAACGTGCCACGCCCACTGCTAGTTTGGGTGTGAATTATGAAGGCGTAGCGCTGCCTTAAAAAGCAGCCAAAAGGGAAAACAACTGACAGCACAGTTAATTTCATAAGGCACATGACGTATACGCCCCCTAAGCCCTAGACTTACTCGCTCTGTGTGCACAGAGCAGTCATGCATATTTATACATAACGAGCATCGCTGTAAGTGTGTATGTGTGTGTGTGTTTTATTTGGGGGTTCTGTGCACTTGAACCGCTTTTGTTACCTGACGTCAATCGATTGATTTTGTTGGCCGTGTCATCCACCCCATCTAAATGCTGGGCATTATTTAGCTAACATTCTCCCATATGATACACAGGTGCTACCTAATTACTAGAAAAACATACAAATAAATACATACATATCTAGATATACACACATACATCCCTTTATATATTCTCATCAATATCATATGTATTGTCTGATTTATTATGCAATAATTAAGTACCTTGTTCTTTGTCTACCTTTCGCCCATATCAAGGTCCCACTTCAGCTGTCTGTGCGTTGTCATTCAGTCCCATTGGTCTGATTAATGCCTTGAGCCACTGTCTGGCTGGCTCAATTATTGAACAAAAGTTTTCCTCTTTTTGCCCTTTTTTGTTCTGTTTTTTGTTTTTTGTTTTAACTGTCTCTCCCAGTAGTATTTCGAGCTTGGCTTTCCATTATGCTCTGTCGACACATGTCATAAATGCGTGCCATATCGTCACATATATGTCATTCGCTTTTTATGCACTCTCTGATAGCGTTTTATTGTCCATGGCCGATGAAATTTTAATAGCTTTCCCCAAAAACTTCGGGCCTTTAAATGTGCTCTTTGAATTATTATTTCAGCATTTCAAAACACACGCACACACACACACATACATATATATATTTGGAACACTCTTCACGCCACTCAAATATAACATTTATGTACCTATTAAGCATATGAGCCCCAACTCCGGAACTACGGAAGACATAAACCGCTTAGTAGTCGAATGATTTCTTCGGAACTCATTTTATCTCATAATGACTTTTTTCGCTTCTCCTGTATCTTTAATTGACCAAAGTACTTTAACGACCTTTTTTATATTATTCAACTATATAGATGTTTTAATAATTTAGTTACAGCTACCAAATTTCCATTATAATGCATATCTATAATTTTATGTGAAATATATGCTATTCTCCATGTATAATTTTCTGGTCCTTTTTTGCATATGCAGATTAAGTATTCATTATTTTTTTACATGTACAATTCCATGTAAAATTATTTCTTCAATGATATGTGTTCTCTATCCTCAATCAACAATTTTTCATCTTCTGTCCTATATTATTCATCTTCTATCCATCATCATTTATTTTCTATCCGCTATCCTCTATACTCTATCTTTTATTCGATATCCGTTATTCCTTATCATCTATCCAATATTCGTTATCCGATATCTGCTATCCTCTATCCACTATGCTCTATACTCTATCCTCTATCCCCATCCTCTTTCCTCTATTATCCACCATTAATCCACTTCTATCTATCCTATGTGTATCACATATCATATATCCAAAATACTATATCCTAATTACTATATCTAAAATCAAATATTCTTTATCCTTTTCTTTCACCGTTTTTTTATTACATATCATAACATATTAGAGTAAATATAGAACGAAATCGAATACAATCGCTTCGCGTGTCGATATGCAATCAAAGCATTATTTATTTTTGGATATTTTAATAAATATATATGAATCAGATAGGCGTAGCTGCTTCGCATTAATTCGCATTTGACAAGTCTATTTATATATAGAATCAAGACTAATCAGTTAGCTTCAATTACGCGCGTTTGCCTTCTGCCCACACTCAATTCGGCTATGAAAATCAATAAGCCCATGACATGGCCGACAAGATATAATTTCCAGAAGAGCTGCAGGTCGTCGAAACGGGTATAAATCGGACTCTTAAACGAATCACAGGCCAATGATGGAACTTTGCCAATCATCATGTCATGATAGGATCTCAGCTTGAATAGTTTCGCTAAGCCCACATTCTGGGCATTCAAAATGTACTCGTCCAAGGCAGCGGCATAGATCGAATTCTTCTGCAATATCGTATTCACTGGAAATTCTTCGGCAATATGTATATCATTCGATTTGCATAGCAGTGGGTGCTTATAGTTTCGCTGATAGACTTCCAAAGCGTTCCAGATCAAAGAATACGTCTGATAGGCATAGCTCGTGTTCAGGCTAAGCAACAGCTCGACCTGATCCTTGGCCTCCATACAGACAGCATTGGGCACTTTTTTGGTAAAGAAATCCGCTTCGTATTCCGTCTCGATGAGCTCATACGAGGCATAATCAAACAGTACCGGCAATCGGCTGGCATTCAGCTCGGCATAGTTCTGTATGTGGCGTTCACGCGGCTGCTTGGTCAACCAGGTGCTCAGGGTGGCATTAAATGAGATATTGCACATGATCCCCAGCAGAGCCAGTTGAAAGCCCAAGATTCTCACTGGCAGCCTACTACGTCTGGCAATGGGCACCGTATGATTGATCAAATTCCGTAAGACATTCAAGTTCAAGACGAACCGAGAGTAGGGAAAATTCAATTTCGATTTGCGACAACAATAAGCCACGAACGTCTCGAACAAACTGAGGCCAACATAAACTGCGAGCAGCTTTAGCATCGACTTCGGGGAAAACATTCGCAAATAGATCTGCCCGATGCTCAGCTCATGGCCACAGGGCACCACAATCAGGAAACTGACCATGCCCAGCGTTGCCGATCTCTGCGTGCCCTCGGCTTGATGGCGCTGCGAAAAGGGCTGCACATTGGTTATAAAATCCACCTCGCCCCGACCTATTAGCAGCATTATCTCGGGCATATGTTGAGCTCTACGGGTCTCATTGAGAAACGGGCTGAAGTACTCAAGTTGGATATTTCGATGCTTGGCAAACGATTCCATCAGATTGTAGCAGAAGCCGTTGAAGTATTCGCGACCCGTGCGCGGATCACGGCTGATGAAACTGTTCGGGGGCACGAGCGAGGGTATCATCACGGCTCGCTTGCCCCGAAAATTGCGCCAGTGTTGCACAAAGAGGCGTTCAGTGCTGTTAAGCGTGCGGTTCAAAGGCAACCTCATCTCCTCGTAGCTGGGCTGAGGAAATGGCTGCATGCGTAACAAGGAAAATCGCCGACCTTTTCCAATTAATATTAGGATATTGTAATAATAATATCGCCTCGCCTGACGACCAATTAGGTCCAGCAGCTCTTGAGCATTGCTCTTCTCGATTTGCAGCCAAATTATAATTCTCGCCTCCCGCATGCCCTCCAGGCTGTCGGCCAATGCGGCAGTCAGCAGCAGTGCATCTCGTATTTCACGTATGTAAATCAATGCTAATGCTCTGCGTGTATAATTGATGACACGAATCACGTTTCGTTCGTCGTAACGCAACACTGGCCAATTAGAGAACGGCCAGTGTTGTAAAGCATCCAAATTAGTTGGCTGCCTACGCTGCAGCAGCAACAACAACACAATTGGCTCTTCCACATTCACCTGGACCAACAAATTATAGAGCACATCCTCACGACGCTCCACTTCCAGGCCAAATTTCGGCCAACAGCAGCTGCCACCAGACCAGAGCAGACTGAGGAGGCAACACAGCAACAATTTCATTTTTGCCATCGGCAATTGACTTCGGTCTTCGCACTGAGCTGCGGACGCACGTTTCACAGACCTTTTAAAGGTTTATCGAGCAATCGTTATACTAATTGCATTAAGAGCTGATTTAAATATACTCTTTGAAAACCCATTTGATTGCATTAACTTAGATAAACATCCACAGAAGAAGAGTGAAAATTTTAATAGTGAAAATTTGATTTTAAATGGCATAATTAATGGAAAATTGTTGAAAGCGCCATACTTTGTACCCTATAGCAAACAGCTGTGTTTTCTTTTATCAAGGTTTTAAGACTGCAATATACCCTAAGTCTGAGCATCAATAAAAAACATTAAATAATATATAATGTAAATTAGTTCATATATGGTTCTCACAAATATATTATATTGTATTATAATTAATTTTTTA